TCATCTTACCCAACAACCCTTCCTCACTCTCCCTATCCCTCTCCTTATTCCCACAAAACTCCGTCTCTGCCTTTAACCCTCTTTTCAAATTTTACTCCCAAAATCACCAAAAAAAAAATGTAGTATGAGTAGAATCCATCCAACATCTGTTCCGTTATAATAACCTCCATGCTATCAATTCCTCCTCCTCTTATAGTATCAATTTATATCCCTTATATCTAATCACTTACATCTCTCTAAATATTCCTCCAACCCCTCTTAACTTTCGTCTGAATCCCTAAGTCTTATCCCTCCTTTTTCTTATATTCATCCCTCTACCCTGTTTCTTCTGCTTCAATTATTTATTTACTGTGTATTTTATATATTTCTATTCAAATATATATACTGTAATTAAAAAACATTATATTATATATAACATACATGATATACTACTATTATATAAACAGTACAATTATATAAATAAACTACTATATATATATAATTAACATTACAATACATTATATATAAATAGTATATAACAGTACATACATTTATATGAAATATACATAAGCTATATATATATATATATATACATACATTCCCAGTCTTTTCAGATAAAAGGTTTGAATCTCATGTTCGTACTGAACCAATAAAATTAAATTTATCACATAATTTACTATTTATTTATTATTTAAACTTTTAAATTAAATTTTTATACTGTTTATACATTTTAAATATTATATAAAATCATTTACATTGTAACATTAAAATTATTATTTTTCCTAAACTTAAATTATTAGTTATTTAAACTTACAGAATATCTTTAAAATTATTAATCTTAATAAATTTTTTTTATTCATTTTTTAATGCATTTAAAAACTTTCCAAATACATTTTTTATCATGTTTAAACAGCAATATTACTGTAATTTCACAGGATAATGCTTTTATTACATTCTATAACTTAACATTCACATTAAAATAATAACAATCCAATAAAAACATCACTGTTCTTTAAATTAAATTCTGTAATTATCTATTACATCAAGTTCACCTTTATTTATTAAATCAATTTTTTTTACACTTTAAAATATCTTTAATCAAACATTAAAGATACAAAAAATGTAAATATTTTATTTAGAAATTAATCTAAAAACTTTATTTTAAATTATTTATTTCTGATTTAACTTTTTCTTCTCATCCATGACTCTTGGTGATTTTTCATCACCTTTTTTAACTTTACACACACACACACACACACCCACACACACACACAACACACTAAAATCAACAACATCTTAACATATGCTTTCTCACATTAACAACATTTTTAAATTGTTGTTTTAAAAAATTAAAACATTCACTTTCCCATTTCTTCCCGTCTCAGTTTCCATTTAGACCCTACATTAGACTAAGTTATTTATCTGGTCTTTCTGATATATCTTCATCATTATTCATCATCACAATTCTCAAATAAATGAGTTTTAAAATCTCCATTTTAAGTAAATACAAACACACACTTACTCTATATTTAAACTTTATTCTTTACATCATAAACTCTAAATACAATTATAAAATTTATTTTATATATATATTATACATAATTTTCCTCTTGATCATCTAATAAAGTTTTTGAAACATTAAACATGTTTTCATATTTTAATTTATTTTAACAGCGTACACCATTTTAACTTAAATCAATAAAAATACAATTATTACTTATTTAACAATATATCTTCTATTTAACTATATATAAAACATTAAATAAAAAACTTAACAAATTTTGTTATTAAAACATTATTTATCAATATTAATGATTTAAGTTACACTAACTTAATTTTTTAAATTTTTATCTAAATATAAAAATTATTTTAATCAAGAATGTTGTTAACTTTCTCCATATTGTATTAAT